AGTCCTCCTATTTCAATTTTATCTCCCCCCTTCAAGGTGGAGTGAGTAGATCTTACTCCTACCTTGTCTCGCATAGAAAGAAACCTGGTTGAAGGCAGGGGTTTAGTAAATATGTCAGCAATTTGATCTGCAGATGGTATATACTCAATTTCCAGTTCCTTATTGGCCACCTTGTCTCTTACAAAATGTATATCAAGCTCAATGTGTTTAGTCCTTGCATGAAACACTGGGTTTAATGCCAATGATTTAGCTCCTAAGTTGTCGCACCACACAATCGGAGTTGCTTCAGAAATAGTTTTAAGTTCCTTGAGCAGAGACTGTGTCCAGCAGATTTCAGCAGTTACGTGTGCCAATGCTCTATATTCAGCTTCTGTACTTGAACGGGCAACAACATGTTGCTTCTTGGCACTCCAAGATATCAGATTTCCTCCCAGATATACACAGTACCCAGCTATTGATCGCCTATCATCTGGACAGGCCGCCCAGTCAGCATCACAGAATGCAGTCAAATTGAGGTCACCTCTGTTCTGTATTCTAAGTCCATAGTTTGATGTTCCCTTAATATATCTGAAAACCCTTTTAAGTAGATTCCAATGTATGTCTGTTGGTTTCTGAAGGAATTGGCTTAGTCTGTTGACAGCAAATGACAAATCTGGCCTAGAGTGCACTAAGTATTGTAGAGCACCAACTGCACTTCTGAAAAGAGTTGTGTTGTTTAACTCTCTGCCCTCTTCCTTTGAGATGATTTTTCCAGCTATCATAGGAGTTGTTACTGGGTTTAAATTGCTGAATCCAAACCTTTTAATGATGTCCAGTGCATACTTATTTTGCGAGAACACTAAACCAAATTCATCTCTTTTTATTTCAATCCCCAGGAACTTTGTTAACTTCCCCATGTCTTTAAGTGAGAATTTTTCATTCAACTTATCAATGAAGATCTGCAGTTGTTGTTTGTTACTCCCAGTAACAATAATGTCATCAACATATATGAGAATGATGATAGTGCAGTTGCCTTCCAACTGGTAATAGAGAGAATTATCAGCCTTTGATTGTGTCATTCCCCATTTAATTAATGTGCCTTTCAGTTCATCATTCCAAGTTCTTGGAGCTTGTTTCAATCCGTAGATTGCTTTCCTTAGCTTGCAAACAGAATCAGGAAACTTACTGTCAGTGAACCCCTCAGGCTGATACATATAAACCTCCTCATTAAGTTTTCCATTCAGGAAAGCATTATTTACATCAATTTGTCTGATATCCCAGTTATTTGTTACTGCAAGAGTTAGAATAATCTTTATGGTTGAAGCTTTAATCACTGGACTGAAAGTCTCCTTGAAATCAACTCCATAGGTCTGCAAGAACCCCTGAGCAACTAACCTTGCCTTATATCTTTCTATGTTCCCCTCACAGTCGTATTTTACTTTGAAAATCCACTTACAACCTATCACTTTGGTGGCTTCTCTGCGAGGAACCAATTCCCAGGTCTGATTTCTTTGTAGTGCCTCAAACTCCTCCTGCATTGCTCTTCTCCAGTTGCTATTAGACAAGGCTTCTTCGACATTAGTTGGTTCTGAGATTTCAGCTGAGTAGACCTTAGGTTTAAAAATTCCACTTTTTCCCCTTGTCATCATATGATGTCCTGTATCAGTTTCAGCATTTTCTCTTGTTTCTATTCTATCTTCTGCTTCTCTTACAGTAGAAACCACATCTCCCAACTGTTCCACTTCTTCATATGGTATACTATCTCTTCCTTCATTTTGTATGTTATCAGCACTGCCAACAGGAGCTAAAAGTGACTGAGATGCTGAATGATGGACATCTTGAGTTGTTTGGATGGGAGTGGAAAATTCTGTAGCATCTAACTGATGGTTTGCTAATATTTCAGAAGTACTAGGAGGTGATGTATATATAGAGGTCAAGTTTTGAGAATTTGTTGTCAGTGGAAGTGGAAATGTGATTATAGTAGAGTCAGTTGGTTGTGTGAATTTATCAAGAAAACTTGTTTTAAAAGGAAATTCAGTTTCATTAAACACAACGTGTCTGGAGATAAACACCCTTCCTGTTGAACTTAGACATTTATATCCTTTATGAGATGCACTAAAACCTAAGTTCACACATTTTTGAGAGTGAAACGAGAATTTGTGTTTGTTATAGGGTCTTAAGTAGGGATAACAGCTGCACCCAAACACTCTTAATGATTCATATTTTACCTCCTTTTTATATAAGAGTTGATAGGGTGTTTTCAAGCCAAGTACGGGAGTTGGTAATCTGTTTATAAGGTATGTGGCCATTGAAAATGCTTCCCACCAGTAGTGAAAGGGTATTTTAGCTTGTGACAACAAAGTAAGTGCAGTTTCAGTCAAGTGTCTATGTTTTCTCTCAGCTCTACCATTTTGAGGTGAAGTATATGGACAAGAGAACCTCATTTCTATTCCATTTTCTACAGCAAACTTCTCAAAGACTCTAAACTCTCCCCCATAGTCAGTTTGGATCGTTTTTATCTTCCTATCAAACTGATTTTCTACCAGATTTTTGAATTGTATGAAACATTTTATGGATTCTGACTTATGTTTCATAGGATAGGTCCAGGTATATCTGCTAAAATCATCAATAAAAACTATGTAATACCTAAATCCAACAGTTGATTTTACGGGTGAAGGTCCCCAGACATCAGTGTGTATTAAATCTAACGGATTTGCAGCATGTGAAGTAGATAATTTGAATGGTAATTTATGTGCTTTCCCAATTTGACATGAGTCACAGAAGAAAGAGATTTCATTAACTGGAAACGGTTTATTACAGGACTTCATCACAGAATTCAGTACTTGAATAGAAGGATGACCTAGCCTCCTATGCCAAATTTCTACTTGCTGAGACTGACTCTGAGATTTATTACAGTTTGAGGAAGAAGCAAGTACAGGGTATTTTGAAATTGTTAAAGCTGATTGAGAGTGAGCTTTTGGTAGTGTCAACTGGTAGAGTCCATCTTTAAGCATCCCTTGAGCCACTTGTTTCCCCGTTAGCAGTTCCTTGACAATACAAAAGTTAGGATGAAATTCAAAATACACTCCATTATCTCCAGTAAATTGTGACACACTAAGCAGATTTTTCTTAATGTTGGGAACATGTAAAAGGTTGTTCAGAACTAAACTTCTATTTCCATTTTTAGACAGAATCTTAAAGCCAGTGTGAGTAATAGGTAGAGAATTACCATTGCCAATCTTAATGCTTTCATTACCAGAGTATATCTGTGCGTCTGTCAGATTCTTTAAGTTATTGGTGACATGGCTTGATGCTCCAGAATCTGCATACCAGGCTGGATCTTCTAGTATATTATGAGATGTTAGATAGGCTGAGTGAGTATCAACACTACTGTGATTAGAGCCTGCTGTCTCTCCAGCTTTCATACCACCAAAATTTTCATTATACCTCTTGAAGCACCAACCAGCTTGATGATTCATTAGACCACAGATTTGACAGGGAGTTTTGTATTCATTTTGCCTGGTATTTCTTCCTCTGCCTCTTGCTCTCCCTCTGTTGCCAGCATTTCTCCCAATTCCTCTTGTTCTTCCACCAAAGTTTCCTCCCCTGTTATATCCTTGACTGAGATTGATGGATCCCATACCAAGTCTAGCTTCATTTAAGTAGTCAAGCCTTGCTTCAAATGTGAGGAGAATAGAGGTCATTTCATGCCAGTTCAACTGATCCTTTCCATTTAGCTGTACCACAACAGGAGTGTAATCTTCATCTAGTCCAGTCAGCACGTGATTAATGAGGTCTTCTTCATTAATTAGCTTACCTGCAACTTGCAGATTATCAGCCAGCTTCTTCACTTTAGTAAGATACTGATCCATAGTGAGTGCCCCTTTTCTGAGCCTTTGTAACTCTCCAGAGAGGAAAATCATCCTTGATTTGTTTAGTACTCCAAAACTTTGCTGGATAGCTGACCAGAGTTGTGCAGTAGTACTGCTTCCCATAACTCTCATGGTTATATCCGGAGACATTGAAGCATAAAGCCATCCCATAAGAAGGGAATCATTGGAAATCCACTTGATGTATTCTGGATTTTCTTCCAGCTTGGTTATAGTTCCTGATTCAGTTGTCTCCTGAATAGATATGAACTCAGATGGACACAGCTTTGTTCCAAGCAAATGTCCTTCAAGATTATGTCCTTTTACAATAGGCATAACCATGTTTTTCCATAGCAAAAAGTTGTCTCTATCCAACTTAATAGAGAGATTCTGAGTTAGGTTTAGTGTAGTTGATTGAGGACGAGCTGAGGGAGTAGCTGAAATTGAGGATGAATTGGTTTGGGACCGAGTTTCAAAAAATTCAGCCATAGCTCTGATACCAAGAAAATTTTCTACGAGAAGAAGAAGAACTGATGCAAATGATATATTAATTATATCTCAATCTTCACATAATATCATTACAGAATTAAGGTCTATAAATAATAAAACAACCTATACATACAATTCATAAATGTAGCACTGCAAAATATCTAAACTGAATTGCACCGTCTTGATTTTCAATCTACCGAATCACATGGCAAATCCCTTAATCGATGGAATGATCAACAGACTCCATTATACAGAAGATGCCCAGCACGATGAACAGCAAGGAGAGAGAAATGGCTGTAAATAGGAGAAGCGTGTTTTTCCTTCTTTACGTTTTATCAAACTTTGGATTATCATTTAGTTCATCCTCCAAGTTTTGTTCAGTCGAATGTAGTCCTCCTATTTCAATTTTATCTNTTTGAAGTGATGCATGTTTTCATGAAGGTCACGTGATACCTTTACGAAAATTTGAATAACTTTTATTATTGAGAACTGCAGTTCAACAAAAACTCGATACCAACTTGCTTTATATACGTCGACAATCAACTTGCTAATGAAACAATAGGTTGTGAATAAATGGTACGACATTTTGAGATAAAGATTGTTTCGTATAAAATAGCGTTACTTTGTATTATTTAATTTCAATTTTGCAATATGTCAAGTAATATACATAGATACAAACTCTTCCCACATGTTCATAGTCAAGCCTAAATGGATGAATGAAGACGTGCGACTAGGTAGACTTTGTGATTTACAATCATGAATAAGTTATGGTGCAACCATTTGGCTAATACCAATCAATTCGAGCTCAAAAGTTCAGCTGCCGATGACGAAATCTTGATGATTTTCTCTATCTATTGAATGGAGAGAATGCTTTGCATTCACCCCACCTGTACCCACCCCCGAGTATATGCTTCAACAGAAAGCCCTGCATCACTCAATGCATTCATTGCTGATCTGTAAAGTCTGGCGTCCAATTTAGTTCCTTCCATCTTCATATCCTGCAAAAGCTTAACCAATTCATCCACTCTATTCATTTTAGAGAAAACGCCAACCATAATACCAGCCATTGCCCTATCAATCACCCCTCCATTAATCTTAAACTCACCAAACAATTTTGTACACATTTCAAACTCCCTTGCCCTGCTATAAGCACTTATCACGCTCGTGTACGTGACGCGGTCGGGAACAACTTTTCTTCGTTTCATCTCCTTCCAAATCTTCTCGACTTGCTTCAAGTTTAACGCTCTACCGTGCATATCCAATAGAGAATTGTATATCCACACGTTCGGTTCACAACCTCTCTCTTTCATTTTAGCTACAAGTCTCATCGCGTCCCTCGGCCTGCCGGTCTTACTATACATGGAAATCATGCTAGAATATGCCACCACACATTTATCGTACCCCTTTTGTACCATCTCGGAGAATACCATCTCTGCCTTGGAATACAATCCGAGTCGGAAATAAATATTTTGAACCGAGGCATAGGTCACTTGACCGGCTTCACACCCTCGGGATAGAAGATGTTCATAAACTTCTGCTGCAGCTTTAAGCCCTTTTCTTTTGCTGAAGGCATTGACAATTGAACAAAATATGCAATCAGAAACTCTGATATTTATCCGTTTCATAACAGAGACAACATCAAGAGTCCTTTCCAATTGCCCGACTTTGATGTACATCAACACGAGCTTCAAAAACAGAGCTGGATCCCTCAGCATTTTCTTGCTCTCGGCTTCTTCTAAAAGCTCTTCAGCCATTTTAACTTCGCCAACACTCGCGAATGAACTTATCAGTGAGGAATAAATTGAATGATCCTCCGGGATGCCTCTCTTTGGCATTTCTCTTAAGACCTCAAGCGCTTCAAAACAACGATCCAACTTCCCCAACGACGTGCACAAAATGTAGTAAATCTTCGCGTGAATTTTCAAGGGAACAACTTCAAATTTTCCGTTCTTGAATTCTTGAAAGATCGCAACAGCTCTTTCGTAGTGTCCCATTTTAAGACAAGCTTCCATTATGTGACAGTAACAAGAAGGGTCCAAAATAATGCCTGCACATTTCATCCTTTCATATAAAACAATAGTGCTGCTATACATGTGCAAACTGTTATAGCCTTTCATCGCGGAGTCGAAGGCTAAAACAGCAATTTCAACATCAAATAAGAAAACTTGCAGCAAATTATTTACAAGCTTCAATTTTCTTGCTTTAGTGCACGTATTAATTAATCTACAACACACTGAACGACTTGGCAGTACCTTGAACCTCTTGACATCTTCACAGAATGAAAACAAAGAACCCCAGTTCTTTGAACTGATTAAGTAACTGACGAGAAGATTTAGCGTCGAATTCTGAGGAGTAAAATCTGGTTTTGCTTTAGCTTTCTCGTAATAATCGTATGCGAGTTGTTCAGTTTGAGAATCTCCAAACAAACTGCATATTACAGCATTGAGTTCACCAGAATCCGGCACGTGAAAATCGCGTTGAAGTTTCAAGCCGACCTCAATAACACGAGCAGCATTGGTGGTCGTACTCGCATCTTCCAGCACGGGTGATGAACAACCGGACGACAAAGATTTGGCAACTATACTTTTTGAGCACAAGACCCAACAAAAAGTTCTGGGTTTTAGAGGTACGATATGAGGTGGGATTGCGAGATTTTTGGTTACTTGTAGAGTTGCGTCGACAGAAGATAATGGCCAGTCGAGTGAATTCGAAATAGCCATCTTTGAAATTTAGGTTCGAAGTAGGTTGGTTTTTTACTTAGATCCCGACTTTGAGATGAGATTCAAAGTGAATGGCGATAGCATATCTGATGAAATCTGGATTGTGCGATGCATGATGCTGCTCGTGTGATATGAACCACATAATGATATGACACGTAGATTTCTATGGACTTCGAGTTTTTGCTGCCATTTCCAACCACACAATTGGGTAACAAAGTTTTATTGGTAACTCAAAACTTTTAAAGAAATTTATTTTAGTCACTCAACTTCTATTTTTATTTCAGTTAAGTCATCCATTTGTCAATGACCCTAACGCATTCCTTCTTGACAGAGGGCTTTTGCTAATGTCTCCATCTTTGAATATGTTGCCCTTTGAGTTGGCTTGCAAGATGGGATTAATCTTTTGCCAAAAATGTTGAGAAAATGGTCGAAGGCAACGATTAGGTCTTACCGATGGAGTAATGGATGGTAAATTGGCCGAACTTGCTAGTGAACCGCTCGAGATCATATTGAGACCAGCCACAGATTGTGAAACGCATGAGTTGGCCATATCAAAGCTCATGGGCCAAGCCCACGTGGTGCCAAACTATCATGTTATTTTATTTTTTTATGGAACTTTTTTTCACTATATAATATATGTATCTTCCCTACTTCATTTTTTTTTCACACAATTCTCTTTGTATTCGTAATTTACATTAATTTTCTTACAGTCTTCGTATTAGCTCTTTTAACGTGCAATTTTTAATTTTATTGTCTCGAAATTTACTCATGAGTTATTTCTATCAAATTCTAGTATAAATCACAATATGGATAAATCTATATGTACATAATTATTGTACATAATAGATTACATAGGCCCATGTGGAAGAAATTCGTTCCGTGGATCTGAAGTGTGGAAAAGTCAAAAATTATAGATTACCGATAGATATTAGGCCCATGTGGAAGAAATTCGGCCGTGGATGTGAAGTGTGGAAAAGTAAAAAATTTGTAGACTACCAATGGATGCGCGCCACATGTCAATTATGTAATGTATTACGTAAATGATTATATACTTGTAGCATGGTCCTTATAATATTTTGCCTCTTTCATTCTTCCATTATTCAATATATGTTATTTCAAATCAATTACAATAGGACTTTAACAAAATCTTTGATGCTTCTAAGTTCTATAGTAAACTTTGAGAATTGTATTAAACTAGAAAATATATGCTTCTCTTAGCTTTATAGTCTTGATCAGATAAAAGTTTTAATACCTGACGAGTCTTATAATGCAAGAGGCTAATCGTTCTCGCTAGGGACAAAGATTTTGAATTTATTTTCAATTCTAATATAAATTATATTATTCTACCTCTTTCTTCAATACATTATACAAACTGAGAGTTCAATTAATTCTACATTCACATGTGAATTTAGATCAGGCTTTTTAAGATACCTTTTTAGAGTTCAACTAATGTGCAGTAGCCTTTTTATTTTATTTTTATAGAGAGACATGATAAGTGTGTAATATCAAAGAAGATAACATTGAGCATATGATACTTTGTTATATGATGATGATATATATGTAGATTCTGTCAATAATTCAAATAGTTATCGTCTGAGAGTTTGAGATGAAAGAATCGGAATGAATTTTATTAAGGCCCCGTTCAGAAGGGATTAAAAGCCAATTAAAATTGAAAATATGGTCGTTATTGGGTCCCACTCGTCTAATAAAAATCAACAATAACGGCTATATTTTCAATTTTAATCTTATTTTAATCCCTCCCATACAAGGCTTAAATAAATTTTGCAAAAGAAGTAAAGCTCTTCACTCAAAGGCCCTAGGCCCATGTGGAAGAAATTCGGCAGTGGATGTGAAGTGTGGAAAAGTAAAAAAATTGTAGACTACCAATGGATGCGTGCCACATGTCAATTATGTAATGTATTACGTAAATGATTATATACTTGTAGCATGGTCCTTATAATATTTTGCCTCTTTCATTCTTCCATTATTCAATATATATTATTTCAAATCAATTACAATAGGACTTTAACAAAATCTTTGATGCTTCTAAGTTCAATAGTAAACTTTGAGAATTGTATTAAACTAGAAAATATATGCTTCTCTTAGCTTTTTATAGTCTTGATCAGATAAAAGTTTTAATACCTGACGAGTCTTATAATGCAAGAGGCTAATCGTTCTCGCTAGGGACAAAGATTTTGAATTTATTTTCAATTCTAATATAAATTATATTATTCTACCTCTTTCTTCAATACATTATACAAACTGAGAGTTCAATTAATTCTACATTCACATGTGAATTTAGATCAGGCTTTTTAAGATACCTTTTTAGAGTTCAACTAATGTGCAGTAGCCTTTTTATTTTATTTTTATAGAGAGACATGATAAGTGTGTAATATCAAAGAAGATAACATTGAGCATATGATACTTTGTTATATGATGATGATATATATGTAGATTCTGTCAATAATTCAAATAGTTATCGTCTGAGAGTTTGAGATGAAAGAATCGGAATGAATTTTATTAAGGCCCCGTTCAGAAGGGATTAAAAGCCAATTAAAATTGAAAATATGGTCGTTATTGGGTCCCACTCGTCTAATAAAAATCAACAATAACGGCTATATTTTCAATTTTAATCTTATTTTAATCCCTCCCATACAAGGCTTAAATAAATCAAGTACCGTTGACAAAATGTTGAAGAATTTTGGGTATTGTGATACTAAGCTAATCTACTCCACGTGATTCGAACATAAACTTGAAGAAGAATTTAGGCGAAGTTGTCGACCTCAAAAAATGGGTCAACATGATCCCGACTCCGCCACGTCAACGTAAGCTTGCTCCTACACACTTGAACAAACAGATAGTCACATGTGACTTTCTTCGGTGGTGGGGAAGGTGATCACGTGCACTCCGACGATCAAGTCGGTCAATGAAGTATTTATATCTGGGTGTGGAATGTGCTTTAGACGCGAGCCACTTGCGTGTTTGGGCACCGGGTGTATGTGTGAGGGTATGTAATGATGGGAGAGAATAATCTTACAAACTTTGTAATGTTTTGAGTTGCATTATCATTCAAATGGCATGAGTTGTGATATTTTATAGTAGTAGAAATGAAGTGGTAGTCGTTGGATGAAGAGACACGTGACTTCATCTTCTTATTCGAAAGGTCTCATCGTAGGCATCATATCACACATAATTTAATGCACTTTGAGAAGGTAGCCACATTGGGGCCTGGGTCTGATATCTATGTAATAGGCTGACAATACTCGACATTCTTTTGCAACATGGGTTACATCAATCATTTGCATAAGATCTTCACGAAGAAGATCTCGTGGGAGAAGTGGATATGAAAGATTCCTTTATGGTTAGGAGCCTTTCGTTTCGATAATGTGGGCTTCGGCTACATATATAGTGCTTTGGCTTCAGGACTTTCCCACTTACATAGTACTTCGACTTCGGAGCTTCATCAGTTACATAGTACTTCGACTTCAAGGTTTTAGCTATTTAGATAATGTTTCAACTTCAGAGTTCCAGCCACTTAGATAATGCTTCGGCTTCAGGGTTTCGACCACTTATATAGTGATTCTGATGAAGCGGTGAATCACCTCTCTATTATTGTTTTGCAGCAAGTGGCATCTCGCTTCGGCCATGGAGTTTCTACTTACACATGGTGCTTTGGGTGAGGCATCGATTCATCATTTTTAACTATGACTTTGATTCGGTTTTTGACGACACGGAATGTGGGTCTTTTGTTTTGGCTTCTTCTTGAGCCTTGATCTTTGAAGTGTAATAGAAGTACTTTTACGATATAGCTATTCTCAAATCATTAGGTTTTTTTACGTACTTAGCAAATAGCACACAACCAAGTATATCTTTTGCCACCGGAAGTAGTAAATATAGTCATAATCCAAATAAAGACATTGCTTAATATTTTCGAGATATATTAGTTTATTCTATAGACTAACATGCTATCCAAGGTTTCGTGAGTTATTGAAATGTACAGCCATTCGAATGGATAATTGAAAATTTGGATATCATGTCTGCTCCACAATACATGTTAATATTACATAGTGCAATTATATCTTGGAGTTGAAAACGACATTGCACCGTCAATCACGCTCAAATAAGATGTTACATAAGCCTAACACCTATAAAAACATTATAGTATTTATGGTTAGAGGGATCGAAGAGTGGAGTAGGGACAAGAAAATCAAAAAATGGAGCGAAGTACATGTGAAGGGACAAGAGAGAGGTGATAATAATAGAGTGAGAGTAGAATAAAGTGAAAAGGACGATGTCATCTTTATTATTAGTTAATTAAAAAAAAAGGACATTTTAAATGGAATATTTAAAAAAAATAAAATTCAATTTGACTTTGACTTTGACTTTGACTATGATAAGCAGACCCTTTTTTAAAAATGGGAAATTGCAATGAGGATCCTAAGCTTTACAAAAGTGCAAATGAAACTTCGACCTTTAATCTTGATAGCACCATCCTTTCACAGAGATCCATTCATAGAAGTGGAGGTTTTCTAGATGAGGAAAATTTCATATCTAAGAGATTATGTATGATTTTAAAATTAAGAAATACGGTTTAAAATTTAAAAAATTAGATATTAATTAAAATTTATTTAATGAAATAATTAATTAAAAATATATATTTATTAATTAAATGTATTAAGGTCATAATTTTATACTGTTTAGTCACAAATTATTGAATTAATTGGTCACAAATTATTTATTTGTTACAAACCAACAATTTTATAGGTCACTAATTATTTTACGACCACAAATTAAATATTTTATAGATCAAAATTTATTCATCGTCAAAAATCAAAAAAATTACATGTCACAATTTATTTATTAGTCACATATCACAATTTTTGTGAGTCACGATTCAAATTTTTAGATCATATATTATTTATTAGTTACAGGTTATCGGCAACATATTATTTATTGGTCAAAACAACCAAATAATCAGCCACCAGCACCACTGTAGTCAA